ATCTATCTATCTATCTATCTATCTATCTATCTATCTATCTATCTATCATTATCTATCTATGAAATATTTATATATATATATGTGTGTGTATGTATGGTATTCAGCTTTGTTCGGGTATTTATTTGTTCAGAATCTTATCTGCCATCTGCTTATCTGTGAACAGACGAACACAATACAGAAGCCTGATGATGGCAGGTGAGATTCTGCCAAAACGTTGCTACAACTTTAAAAGCACAACTATAATGACATGGGAAAATACCAGAACAAAGCTGAATACCATACATGTGAGTACCCGCGAAAACTTAAGAAAACAAATATCTCTATATATCATATACATATATGAAATATATAGATATATATCATATACATATATGAAATATATATATATATATATATATATATATATATATATATATAGAGAGAGAGAGAGAGAGAGAGAGAGAGAGAGAGAGAGAGAGAGACAGAGAGACAGAGATCATTGATTTGCCTAATGACCATGGTTAAAACGCTTGTAAATTCGGGTATGACTTAACAACCTTGGCTTGGAAATTCTGGACCAAATCGTGGTTGTTAAATCCCACCATCCCTGGTACCACCTGCTTTAATAGAAATGCAAAGCAAAAAGTTGAGGTAACTTTTTTGTATTCTACTGCACTAAAAAAAAAGAACCCACTGCTTTTCCCCTCTATTTGCACTTTTCCCCTTTTCTATTTTTTTTCTGATTTTTGTTTCTATTCATATTTGTTGTACCTTATCATAAAACTTAAATTTTGCAAAAAACAAAACAAAACCCAGTCCACTAATGTTGGAACTATTAATTTTTCATTCTGGAACTTTTCAAAGTTGATATATTTTGCACAATAATAAAAAAAAACCCTGCCTTGCCAAACATCATTCAGTTGAATGGCAACTTCCAGTAGCCCCAGCTGGAAATTGAATGGACTGGCCCAAGGTCACTCAGATGACTTTGTGCCTCAGGTAGAACTAGAACGCAGTTCTCTGAATTTCAGGCTTGGTGTCTTAACCCCTAAACTGAAGTAGTTCTCGCTGCAATCATCAAAAGTAAAATAATAAAACACAGTAGTTAACAACAGATAACTTTTTTATTAAGTAAATGTATATGCTCGATATCACTATTGGAGTGAATGTGGGCAATTTACAGAACGATACAAGTTCAATATAAAAACAGTTAAAATTAAGAATTTAATAGAGACTAAAACCAAGGAGAAGGATGTCACAGGATCTTGTCTGACAATGACCTCCAGCATAGACCATCCCCAACAGGAAAAGCCAAGTGTTAAGACCAGAAGGATGGCTGCAGATCTCATCTCTGGTGGCAGAATGTTTCAAAGAGCAGAGGCCACAAAGGAAAACCCTCTTGTCCTAGAGTAGACCCTGCAAGCCAAAATGTTCTCACCTAAGCTCCCCAAAATCATGAAGCAGACTCTTCATCCCAACCTTTTTATTTAGGCTAAAGTGAACTCCTCTCCAGCAAAGTCCCGGCAAACAGTCTTTCAAGAGATTTCACAACTACAGATCTTTATCAGGCTTGTAGAGTTGCCAGGCCGATATCTTCCAAGCACCATTCTGTAGCAGACAATACTTGGCAAGGAGTCAGGAACAGATCTTCACCTAAATGAAATGAACTAATTGTCTCCTGCAAACACCACTCTCCTTTCACTACTCTTTATTTCCTATGGGAGGGGCCATTCACCGTCCACCTGTGCCTTTACTCCTGAGTCGACCCTTGTTCCTTAACTGTTCCCTTCTGGCAGCTCTGCACATGCACACACTGGGAACAGGCTCCAGCTGTTCTTCTGCACCACTGATCTCCAATTCCAAAGGCAGCTGATAACTATCAGATGGCCCTGGCTCCATCTCTGCCTCTGACACAGAGCACTTGTCAGAGCCTTCCCCAGACTCCAGATCTGGCCCATGTTCCTCCCCAACCTCCTCACTGTCTGAATCTGCTGCCAGCTCTGCTGGCCGCTGGCGGGCTACAACACAAAAATTCCTTGACTGATCGTAGCAAGCTCCTTCCACTAGAGCAAGTGGCGAGGGCTGATACTATTGGGGAAAGATGTTCCTCAGATATTCTGAACCCATTTCATGAAGGGCTTTAATAACCAACACTTTTAATTGGACCTGAAAGTAAACTGGAAGCAAGCCATTGCAGCTCATGCAAAGCGGTGTTACTTGTGACATCGTAGGCCTTCCAGAACTGTCTGTGCCCACTGCATTCTGCACCAGTTGTAGCCTGCGAATACTCTTCAAACGTAGCCCATGTGGAGCATATTGCTGTTATCCAGCTGTTAACATAGAGATAACTGATGGTAAAATGAACTGTTGATCTCATTACATTAGCACTACGGTGGCTTGATTTGCTTTTAATAGGGATTAAATCATACACACAATTCAAAAGAATTTTGCTACGACAAGCTTTGTTTTGAAACTTAGCTAGTTTCCTGGGAGACAACCAGGGAAAGGAAGCAAGCAAACATTATAGAAGGCTCTCTAGAAGCCCTAATAAAGCAGAAGATGAAGCAAAGTCTTAACAGCTCCCACAAATTGAGGACAGGTTCTTTTTATAAATATGATTTTCCTGACTACCTTAGAGAACCACTGATGTAACAGGATAAATTATATTAGCCTTGCTAAAGGCCCTGCAGCATTGTGAACGTGTAATCAAAATGATCAAAGAAACGCTTCTAAATTTGATTTTGGGATTCTAGATCCATACTCTCTTGTTCAATGATTAATAATATAGGCGTCTCACCTCATAGACTGAAACAAAAAACTGAAATACCAAGTTTCCCCGAAAATAAGATCCTGCCTTATTTTATTTTATTTTTTGCCACCAAATAAGGCACCAGGTGTTATTTTCAGGGGATGTCGTCCATTGACTCAACTCACTTGCCCGCATTGCCCCTGGCCTCCTTTTTGCTGACAGGAACTTCTTCTGCAGCGCCAAAGCCGGCAAGGCTTTTCCTGAAGGCCACTGCAACCGATAACAGAGCTCCAGATCGATCTGGAGCTCTATTATTGGCTGCAGAAGTCTTCAGGAAAGTCTTGCCAGCTGCAGAAGAAATGGGCCGGCAAGGAAGGTGTCAGGGTGCGTGAGGCCTGGCTGCAACTGTCTGAAGCTAAGTAGTAGGGCAGCTCCATCCCCTCATCCCCACCTTAGCTTAATTTTTACCCGTGCCCCCTGGAGTGGGTGGGGTCTTAATTAGGGCTTATTTTGTGGGGAGGGCTTTTATTGGGCACACATGTAAAAATCAAGCTAGGACTTACTTTTGTGGTAGGTCGTATTTTGGGGGAAATGCAGTAATTAAAGCGTGCCCTTTACTCAATTCTGTTCTCTCGATCCTCCATGGCTAGGATTGCAAAGTACATAATCTTAGTTTCCCCACATGTGAAACAGTGCATGATCCTTACAGATGCAGCAAAACTTTCTTTGTGATCCTTAGACCTACAAGAGTCTCTGATGTTTAGTAGCAAACAGCAATGTTACAGTGGTTTTTGGGGGGGACATAATGTTCCTTGGATAAATAATACCCTCACCATAAAAACTGAATAATAATGAGACCATTGTTTCCTAATTTTCCTGCTTGGAACTGCTTCTAAAAGATGTCCTGCTGCATTGCAGCTTCACCTCAGACAGGCATCATAATTTAATGCAGTGGTTCCCAAACTTTTTCAGTCCACCCCTCCCTTTGTGCTACAAACTCATCCTTGGTGTCCCCCACCCAGGGGTGGGATTTAAATTTCTGTGGGCGTGGCTTAATTTGAGGGCATGGCTTGCTGGTCACATGACTGGATAGGTGTGGTTTGGTGGTCATGTGACTGGGTGGGCATGGCCAGGTGACTGGCAAACCAAATACAAGTGGTCCTCACTTAATGGTCAGTTGTTTAGCAAGTGTTCTAATTTATGACTGGCCTCCCCAGAGCTACTTGACCTGTTTTTGGAGTTTTGGCAGCCATGCACACACATATACACATACTCCCTTCCAACCCTGCTGGAGCAGGTCATTGGACTAGAATCGGCAAAGCATCTCTGATTAGATTCTAGTAGTGAATAAAATCTAATCAGAAATGTTTTGCCGATTCTTGTTGATTTGTTTTATTTTTATTTCTTTATTTTATGTTGCTGAATTGCTTTGACATGTGTGTCCCTTCTTGTGTACAACCCAGAAGGTTTTGTTATTCTTTGCAGCAAAAATTACCGACCTCTGGCTTTGCTTGACTTTTCAAACGTGCCACCACTGCTGCAGGTCCACCCCATTGAGCCCACTGCACCAGAAGGACCTGCCCAAGCAAGTCCGAGCAAAGCAGGGGACCAAGTCAATGGGGTGAGCCTGAGAGAGGGAAAGAGAGAGAGAGAAAAGAAAGAGAGAGAGAAAAAGAGAAGGAAGAAAAGAAAGAGAAAAAGAAAAGAAAAGAAAAGGGGACAGATGAAGAAAGAGGGAGGGATGGAAGGGACAGAAAGAAAAAGAAATAAAGAAGGAGGGAGGAGAAAGATAATGACATATCTATTCTAGTCCAATCACCTGCTCCAGCAGGGTTAGAAGGGAGTGTGTGTGTGTGTGCGTGTGTGTGTTCTCCTTGTAATTTACCAATACATTTTGGTTTTGCCTTTTTCAGAATTGGCACTTTAAAACATTGGGGAAAAGTAATTTTTAGGGTGGAGATCTGGTCCAATGGATCTTGTTTAAAGCCTCAACAAAATGTAAGAGCTTCCTAATAGTCTTGACCATGTTTCGTCCACAAAACCTTTAATAGAACCCAAAGATGTTTCAATGTGGAAAAGGGCCTCAGTCTAAACTAGGCCTCATTTCAATCTGATACATCATCTCTCTCTCTCTCTCTCTCTCTCTCCCTCCCTCCCTCTCAGACTGGCTTTGCTCTACTTTCCCAATGTGCCTGTGGGGCCGGCGCTTTGAACATGAATGGATAGATGGAGGGATGGATGGATAGAGAGAGAGACACAGAGAGAGACAGGTAGGTAGGTAGATAGATGGGTAGGTAGGTAGATAGATGTATAAGTTTCAGTGGGCCATGGGAGCCTTGTCAAAGCAATCAGTGCCAGCCCCAAATCTGTGTCAATTACTAGTGAGAACTGCACTTAACCCAATAACAAGCCTAGATCATATAGCTGGTGATTTGTCTCAAGCACTTGAAGAGCACAAAGGCAGGCAAGATGTACTATACCGATGAACTTAAACGATAGAGAACTAATGCCCAGATTTCCTATTCAATGAGGCACTGAGAAAGAAGACATTTCTGAATATAATAAAATTGATGGGTCAACACCATTAAGTTTCCATCTGGAGCCAGTAACTGATTTCTGGGCCATTTACAAGTATAATCAATACATACTTAAAAGAACTGATCTTCCACATATTCACTCTTTGCAATAATTATCTCCCTGTCTTGATGGTTAGATATCTTCAAGGCAAGTTAAGCTCTCAGCTGATTTCAGGCACACATCTAGATGGAATTTTAAGACAATGATACAGAAGAACTCTTAGTGAAAAAAAAAACATATATCCAGGCAAAAAACCCTGAAAATCATTTCTGCAATTCCTTCCCTTTTTCTGTAAAGATGGAAGTAAGTTCCTAGCTAGGAATAATATTTTTTAAAAACATATCTTTGATATTATATTATACAACTCTCCTCTGTGCAAAAAAAAAAATCTTTTTGGGGAGGGGGGTCTGGCTTTATTAAGATACCTGGTGTAGGTCAGGGGTGTCAAATTCGCGTTGTCACAGTGGCATCACATAAGGTATCACATTTTCCCCCCTTTCACCAAACCAGGTGTGGGCATGGCCAGCGTGTGATGCATCCGGCCAGTGGGCCGCAAGTTTGACTCCCCTGGTGTAAGATTACACAAGTGTGCCCACAGTCCTTTCGGTGGGTATGCTTTCTTTCTTCCTGTAGGGTTTGGGATGGTCGTCTTCCCTGTAGGTCCTCTCAAGGTTATAACGACTGTTGTCCCGCTGCTTTTGAAACAAGCGGACCTCCCGAATGGTGAGAATGCAGACCACCAAGCTTCCAAAATAGAGGCAAGCAGCCACCAGGCCGAAAAGGGCCACGGATGCATCCCCGCCTTGCACGCTGCAATTCGTTGAGGTGTAACCTCGCCTTGCGTATAGTCTTTCTCTCTTTAGGCACACATCCGTGGCGTTGACTTGAATGATGAAGTGGAGATAGAGGCCAACAGCCGCTATATAACCAAGGCAGGCGAGGATGTCGAAGAGACACTCGGCGGCAAGCAGTCCAAGGGAAAGGCGATGAAGAGGCTTTGCTCCACCAATGAGAAACAGAAGCGTTAGGCACATCATTGTCAGGCTGAAGGCTATCCCTCCATATACAGAAGGGGCTCTCATCTGGCTGTACTGCCTATCCAGCTCGGTCACCTCTTGGAGTTCAGTCCCCTGAAATGGACTATACATTGAGTCGAGGCTGAAAGAGCCTAGGCCGCCCAGAGAAGTGAGACCAGAGACCCCCGCCTGGGTTGCTCCTATGCAGATCAGCACCAAAATGTTGACAGTGACTTCGACAACCTGCAAGACACCTGCGGGAGGAAAAGAAGGAAAGAGATGGGGGAATGAACGCCGCCGTGAAGCCATTGGCTGTGGCTGTCATTCTGTAAAAATACAACAATATCGTATAATTGGGCAGTTTATTATTGCTACAGCTCTACCGTATTTCTCCTCCTGCAGAACTTCGAGGTGGGTACTTATAGATACAAGTATCTCCTATAACAGAAAGTTAATGGATTGAATAACTGCTACTGGCACTTACTGCTAAAGATCAAAGATGGAAGGATTTTATATTTGGCTGCTGTCTCCTTGTTTAGTAAAACTGCTACATACGCTGTAGAAATTGAGATGGCATGTCCTGGATACTAGGCTCATCTAAATAGACTCATTTGCGTGCTGTCCACTCACAGATACAATCTGCACTTTATTCTGTGAATAGAACAATACAGAACCACATAATAGGATCTCTTGGCCCTAACTGGGCTGAGCCCACATATTTTAACTTTTTTTTTTCAGATTAACTGTACTATAACATGTTACATATGTTGCTACAATTCAACAGATGAATTCTTGACAACTTCTTGGTTATGTGAGAGCTTCACACTCTCAGAGCAGTTCATCTGACAGGTTCATTCTCAAGTGACTCAATATCACACGTTTACTTCCCCAAAGTTCCAAAAATTTAAAGCTTTATATGTAACGTACAAAAGGATGAGGAAACATCAATATGTACGACAGAGAAAGTACTGCAAAGGGTGAAACTAATCTACCACTGAACAATAAACGAATGAAAAAGCAACACAAAATTGGTGAAATTGCCAGCTCATTAAAAGAAAAAGTCCTTTATAATTTGCTGAATCTCTATAGGACCACAGGAACAAAACCCAGGCAATTTACACACCTCTGACCTTAGAGGAGGAAAGTTAATGTGAGAAGGTTTCTTCATCCTAATCAGAGTAAGAATAGCTTCCAGAGGAAACTACCAGAGGAAACTATCCCAGTGTCAGACATTCTAGGGCAGTGATGGCTAACCTTTTCAGCACCAAGTGCCCAGTATCCCCAAAATGCAATATAGGGCATGCACCCAGCCCCTGTGCATGCGCACACCCCATGCATGTGGGTTACCCCCACATGCATGAGCATGTCCGCCCCTATGCCCTGCCCCTGCACATGCCCCCTGCCCCCACATATGTACCCCCCATGCATGTCTGCACGTCCCCCATACATACACCCCGCCCCACACACCAGAGGTGGTATTCAGCAGGTTCTGACCAGTGCTGGAGAACCAGTAGCAGAAAAGTTAAGTAGTTCAGAGAACTGGCAAATACCACCTCTGACTGGAGATTTTACAGTATCCTTCCCCTGCCATGCCCACCAAGCCATGCCTTCAGAACCAGTAGTAAAAAATACTGAATCCCACCACTGCCCCACACACGCCCAGCAGAGACCTGAAGACCAGCTGGCCGGTGGGGGGCATGTGCATGCATGCACAACGGAGCTGAGCTGGGACGATGGGTCACGTGCCCAGAGAGAGGGCCCTGCGTGCCACCTCTGGCACATGTGCCATAGGTTTGCCATCACGGTTCTAGGGGTAATAAGTGTGCAGATGAGAGCCAGAGAAAATATATTTTGGAAACGGCTGTGATTCAATGCAGACTTACGACCACAATTGAGCCCCAAATTTTTGTTGCTAAGTGAAACATTTGTTACATGAATTTTCTCCATTCGATGGCCTTGGGGGACACAGCTGTTAAGTGAATTATTGCAGTTGTCAAGTAAGTAACAGGGTTGTTAAGTGAATCTGGCTTCCCCATTGACCTGGTTTCTAGGAAGTTCAGAAAAGGGGATCACATGACCGCAGGATACTCAACCGTTACGAGTCAGTTGCCAAGCATCCGAATTTTGATCACTTGACTATGGAGATACTGCAATGGTTGTAAGTATGAAAAATGGTCATAAGTCAACTTTTTTCAGTGCCACTGAAACTTTGAACAGTGACTAAATGAACTAAATGACTAAATGTGGTCTTCTATCCCCACACATTGCTTCCTGGGAAGACTTACACAAGCCTTAGAACTGATATAAACTATACTTTCTACTTCCTCTCCACCCCGTCTACCTTTGTTTGCAAAGAGAAGCAAACAGAGAGAAGGAAGAGAAATATTTTTCTCCACACTCCCCAGGGCCTTGCAGAGTATGAATAGCTTGGAACTTCTTTATATTCAGTTATGCAGGAGATCTTTTATTAGGAATTGGAAATGCGTATGACCCATTGTCTGTTGGGAGTTTAATTGCGTACATTATGATCAAAGAGCACACATTTCAATATCACATGCAATAGCATCTTGCTTTCCATCTTGGGGCCACATCACATTCAGCTCCTATAATGACATACAACTTAACCAGTACACAATTCTGTTACTTATCAGATAAATTAACAGACTGAAATTCTATGGAATGTTTGCCATCTTTTCTCAGTTAGCTAGATGCAGCAGGGATAGTTACAATATTGTAACTACTATAAATCCACTAATGCAGGAGTGTAAAAATTATGTTCCTGGCGTCCCAAAGCACCTGCAAAAATCAATGCTAAATTTGAATTGTTGATGTGATAGAAAGGGAATTTATTAAATATACAGAGAATGGTTGTATTGAAGTAATTTAAATGTAATTTCATTCTGGGTTTTTTGTTTTTATCTCTCACTTTTGAAAATGCCAGCCCTCACTCACAACTTAAAGAAAGAGTGAGTTCTGAAACCCAAAAGAGATTGTAAGATTCTGGAATGAAACAATAACAAGATTAAAGAAGACACGAGCAGAAGCTCTTACCTACGGTAATAATTTCAAAACTGAAAAAAACATGACTAATTTTTAGTTTGCATAATTTGAAAAGGTTGGATGAATCTAAGCAAAATCAGCAACCAGTGAAAAAAAAAAGAGAAAAATAAACCTGAATAATTATACTACAAATTTATTACCCATTGTGCTTAAGACTAAGTATAAATTGAAGGCTGTAATAGCTGCAGAGATTACATTCTGGAAACTTTATGCAAACTCAGTTTAATGTAAGTGCACTCGAGGCCTTTCCCATTAAAACTACATAGAGCCACGCTTAAGAGTTAAGCACTGGGGCAGATTAAGCTAAGTGAAATGTCCTGCCATTATTATACCTCAATCAAAACTTAAAAGAGAGCGTGATTTCCAAATGATTTCTTTACTTTCTCTGGTAAGAAAAGCTTGTTAAACTGGTCTTGGATTTGATTAATTGCTGCTAAGCAAAGGTTAGCATTAATTTGCTTCTTTTTTAAAACCATCTTCTAGAGTGGCTACTTTTTAAAAGTTTTTCAACTTCAACAGTTGGATGGATTTTTTTTTGTTTAAAGTTAATGTTTTTTTTAATGTTCCATGCCAAGACACTGCATTTTTAAAAAAAACTATAATTGTGATATTTCTCCCTTCCTTCAATCTTCAGTATTGGTAGCGCTCAATTTAGGACTATAATTGAGTCCAGAAATTCTGTTGCTAAATGAAACATTTGTTAAGTGAGTTTACGACCTTTCTTTCTTGCCACAGTTATTAAGTGAATTGCTGTAGCTGTTAAATTACTCAAACTGCACTTTTGGCAGCTATAAGACACACATAATAGCAAGACAATATGATCTAATGATCTAAGTGCTAGAGCCCACTGTAACTACATAGCCAAAAAGGCATTAAGAGTTGTTAACCTAATCCTACATAGCTTTTTCTCTGCTAATATCACACTACTAACTAGAGCAGGGGTGGGCAAACTTTTTGGCTCGGGGGCCTCATTGACTTTTAAAATTGGACAGACGGGCTGGGTCAGCACAAGATATGATACATATAAAAAACTGCATTTGTTAACAGTACATATCAAACATAAACAGAAAAAAGATCCTTTTTTCTTATAAGTCCTATAAGATTTTATCCCATTATCCCAAACTCTTCTTGCTGGGGATCATGGGCACTGTAGTTGAGATGCTTTGAAAAGGCTTGGGGGGGGGTATCAATGCAGAAACCGCAAAATCCACCCCCTGTCAGTCAGTCAGACCCTACCTTGAACAGCGATCAAGAGAGGTTTTCTCCTGAGTAAGCACCCCTGGCGTAAACCCCGCGCGTTTTCACGGTTAGCATGGTCAAGCGGACACTCTCGCAAAACTGTTCGTGGCTGGAAACAGAGCCCAGTCCACGAAGGGTGGGAATTGTGGAAATCCGAGCGCAATTCTCTCCAACAGTCCGGATTGACAGCGAAAGATTCTTAAGAAAGAAGGGACAAAATGAACGTGCGGAGAACGGCATATGACATCATCGGAGCTGTCACTACACACGCACAAACATGTACACAAGAAATAACTAGGGTACCTTGGAGAGCCGGGCACCCCCAGATCTCCTCCCGAGCAGCCCTGCAAACACGCTCCCCAGCCAGCCACAGCAAGACCATTCCCCATTCCCCACCCCCCAACACCCCACTCCCTTTGGCATAAATAAAGGCAAGAGGTCGGTCGTCAGCCCTGGAGAACCGAGTAACACACCTCCCCTTGCAAAAAGGGGGAGACCCAAAACACACACGCGAGCCCCAGATGTCAGATACCACCGCACTGGTCCTGAATACGAGAAATCTGCCCAGCAAGCGCTGAAGCTGCTGCCCACCGCCCCGGGGTCAATGCTCTCCAGGGATGGAGAGGCAGTGCGCATCCACGCCCAGACGCCCCAAACTCTCCCTTTGCCAGCGTGGAAGGCAGGAAGCCAGCAAGGCAGGCAGACCCTGCAAGGCTCCCGAGCATGCTGCCCTGTCCATCAGTCTGTCCCCGCCCGTAGTCACCCGCGCCTGCCCGCTGCTCTGCGGTTGCCAGCGGGGTTTCCCTGTTGCCTTGGGCACGCACCAGCTCCTTGAAGGGCAGCTGGCGAGTCTCTCTCCGGCAGGTTGACTGTCCTCCGTTCCCCTCTGCTGTTGTCTGCCCCACTCAGCCACCAAGCTGTCGTCCGGCCCAGATCTGTTGTTTCCCGGCTCCCG